CCCCAAAACCCCAAAACCCCAAAACCCCAAAACCCCTTAAAATTACTTAAATATTGATAGCATTAGAAGTTCCAGCCCATACTATTCTTGGAATCAAATAGGGCTTTGTGTAGCTCATCTATTTCATTTTCAACAGGGCGATTGGCGTTATTGCTTTCATCCTCATTCCTTATTCAAAGTTCCTCGTTAGCAATAATTTCCTAAGATAAGTCAGAAGAAGTCTTACCTTAGTTTTATCCATAATTTGACTCTGATTACGACTATATTCGAACCCAAGGTCAACGCTTTTGTTTCTTTCGTGGAAAATTGCTCTTTGAGTAAGCCCTGATTTCTCATCAAGTTCATGGAGTAGCTTCTCTAGATCGGGTTTCGAAGGGTTTTGCTCCTTAACATCCTCAACAGTCTCTAGATGGAAGTCTATTAACAATTATAAGAATAATACTCTTTTTATCTTTAGAAATCTCTTTAGCAAGTAGCTCATGTTTAGAAGACTGTGAAATTATATTCTGAATACTTGAAGGAACACCACTTTGCTCTTTAGTCTAAAGTCATGAAAAGGGAGGAATAAATTTCCATTACATCACTTTGATGACTAGAGAGTTCCTCTATTGCATTTTGATCCCTCCTTCTTAATCCAAAGGTTGATATCTTCCGGTTAAAAATGAACTTATCTGAATATAATCAATTAGTGTGAAATATTAGATTTACCATTGTTATTTTAATCGAGACGAAGTTTGATGTGACGAATCCCTTGCTGTTTCAAGATCGGTGAGTCCAAAGTGGTCAAAAGCTAAAAAAATAGCTAGTTTTTTAACTCCAAAGAGGTTTAAAGCTTTTTATGCACAAAAAGTTTCAATTAAGCTTACTGTTATTCTTATTTAACTTTCGTATCAGTGAACTATGAGAATAGCTTCCTATGTATTAAGATCTTGCCTTACTGTCATCATCAAGGCTAGCCAGCTGGGTATTTCTACATAACTCTCCTGATGTCACTGTTTCCTTGGTCTTATCTTTATTTTAAGACTTTGGTTTCTAGAAGATGGTAAACTGGAAGTTACTCAGTCTCTTCAGGATGATAGAAGAAGTCTTGCCCAGCTGGGTGGGATCCTTCTTTGCTAACTCTTCTACTTGGCGTTCTATTAGCTGGCGATGGCGCCTTTGGCGTTCAAGCTTGTCCCTGATTAGAGCTTGTTTTGGACACTATGGGTTAGGAAATGGGTACTTTGAGATGTGAAGTGGGTTATTAGAAGGGTCTAGAGGGGTAAAGCAAGGACTTACTTAGTTTTGATTGTTTTAAGATTGGTTTGAGGGGAGAAGTGAGTTTGGGAGGTGCTAGAGGAGTAAAATTTAGAAACTGAGGATTTTGAGGCTTAAAAAGAGGTTTATGTTGATTTTGAGATCAGAAGAGAATTAGGAATCGGATTTAGGATGTAGAGTTGGGTTATATATTTTAGATATGATTTTAAGAAGTATTAAGGCTGACATGCCTGATTATCAATAATAAAATCCTGAAATAGGAAGATGAATATGAACAGTTTATGATCAAGATTATATTAAACCATAATGTGTGTAATTATTTCTTTAATTCTAACATCCTTGTAAGCAACCAAGATTAAAATTTTTCTCTAGATCAGCAAATCTCAATCTCAGAATAAGAATTAAATCACAATTTTACCTCTCTTGGAACTCATATTATTCTTATTATATTCTCATTCAGTTCTTGGTTGCTTCGGTGCTAAATGAATAAAAATACAATTAACATTCAAAAACATTCCATTACCCACAATCTACCCCAAAATCTACCCCAAATCTCCTCAACAGCACCTTAAAACCCCTCAAAAACCCACCTTCTCTCCTCAACCCCCTCCCCAACCCCTCCCAGCCCCCATTCTCCCTCCTCTCTTTCACTCCACCAAAGAATCCCTTAAATCTCTTCCTGAAGCTCGCTTACAGTACACAATTCTAAAAGAACATAACCGTTTAGCTTACTGTTGGACTCTATTAGGTTGGCAACAGCCCATGCTTGTTTGGAATAATTTCAATATTATATAGCTTCAAAGGGGTTTTGGGGTTTTGGGGTTTTGGGGTTTTGGGGTTTTGGGG